GGGGGGGGGAGGCGCGTCGAACGTTTAGCACCCAGAAAAATCAACAGCAGTCTCAAAGAGCCTTTTCAAACAGAGTGTTACGCTGGCCGATTAGCGCTGCGATACTAACAATCGACGTTGCGAGAGAAAGGAGTGAAAAAAGAAGAACGAGCACGCGTGTACCATTCGATCGTTTCATGATCGAGGGCAAAAAAAGGATTTTTGACAATTGAATGAAATAAATAAAGAATACAAAAAGTTTACGGAAAGAGGCAAGAAGCTTGTGGGATCTTGATGACAAGCAAAGAGTTATTAAATCCGTTTAGAGACAAATTGCCTTCTCCGTTAAACAATGACTGTCCTGCATAAATGTTATACTAAAGTATCGGGTAAAGATTTAGCATAGAGTGTGTAAATAATGGAGGGATATATAATAAAAATAGAATAAAAATTACAATAAAGCTCGGAGATATCCGATGAGTTTGTCGAGTCGCGAAAAAAATCAAAGCCGGCAGTTTATCGTGATGATCGAGCCGAAGCGAAGGCTCGAACGCGAGACATCCGTGGCCGACACCCACGTAGGGTCACGAAGGAGGATGTCCCCCGTGCGCGAAACTGCATTCTCGGTGCCTACGATGTTTAAATAAACACCGCGGGTCCCCCCTTTTCCCTTCTCCGGCCCGTCTTTTCGGCCGGCACCTCCGCCGGCGCGGCTGTATCACTAATTTGTCCGTTCAAACAAAAAGCAATTTGTTACCCGGTTGGACTGACTCACGAACCGAGCGCGGTGCATACGGTCCAACTGTGGAGCGCGAAGGAGGACGGGGAGGAGGCGGGAGTGATGCTGCAGAGAAGAGAATCGGCAGAGGAAGAGAAAGAGGAAGAAGAAGAGGAGAAACGGAGAGAGGTGGAGGCTGATTTAAACCTGTCTGGCGGCCCGCTGCGCGCTTAACAACTGAAAAACAAACATGGCGCCGAGAGAGCGCATCGGCCAGCGGGAGCCCACGTATGTGCCGCGTGCGTACCGAGACTATAAAGTGCTTCTGGTACCCACCGGAACCCGGCCAGTCGAGTTCCAAAAGATTTCTCCTCTCCGCGAGAGGAGAATTTAAAAAAATACAGAGAGAGAAGAAAATGTCGGGAGATCCTGGAATTTTTTTCCATCTAGGCGGTCCTTTGTTACGATCGCCGGGAGAGAGAAGGGGAGAGAGAGAGAGAGAGAGAGCTCCTGAATCGCGTGCAACGACCTCACGAGAGAATATTAATTTATGTTTGAGACATTTTTAATATTTCCCTTTGGCCACGCAGAAAAGGATGCCGAGCGTGCGCGCGAGCAAGCGAGCGGAATTCCTATGTCGACGGGAATTCCCCCGTGTTGCTGTTGGCACGTCGAATATTTCCGTGGAAATTCGCGATATTTAAGAAATTGTTTCGTTCTTCCCCCACATCGAGGAAGGGCGAATCTTACTTTCGGATTCTCGATGCTTGCATCGCTTAAAAAGTCGAGCTATCGGAATGAATAATTTTCCTTCGCACCCGAAGAGAGACTTAGCGAAAAAAAAAAAAAAAAACAGATTTTTCGCTAAAGTTTTAAGAAGTTTGATGTCTTCTATAACATGCGATGGAAAATTTTATCTACTTACACCAGGGGTGTTAGCTTGAGGCCCGAAAGGATATCTCGTCCAATCGAGTTTCTCCTCCGTCGTAGTATCCAAGAGAACAACTGCAAACACAAAGAAAATGCGACGTTAGTAGTTTGAAATAACATCATAATAATCATAATAAATATTGTTCGTTTTTTCTTCCTTTCTAAATTACAAGATAAAAAATGTATCTTATAAAAAGCAGCGAAAAATAACTTTGGAGAATTTCCAAATTTCTTTTTTATATTTTTATCAACTCCCATGATGCAATTCCTTCAATCGCTTTATTTCAATACAATCGACACACCTATCAGAATAATTACACGCCACAATGTTACGTAAAAAAAAACAGTTTTACTGAAGTATCTAAAAATTTAGCCAGATGTAGATCTGAAAATAATTTTGTTAACCTAATTATGTAGGAGCCTCACAAACTAGTTGTTAGAAAATCAAAACCTTTTACAGCATTGCTCATCGTTATGTTTGAGTTTCCTACATAATTATTTTAATAATTCAACCAAATTATTTTCAGATCTGCATCTATCTAAATTTTTCGATACTTCAGCAAAATCATTCTTTCTTTGTACAATTACAGAAGGCGATACGAAATTCAAACAATAGTCAGACTTGACTGAGCTTATCTTGAGAAAGACAACAAGTATACGTGCCAAAGTCATCGTAAGGAAATCCACCCACCGAAGAGAGATGGGACTATAGGAGCACGTTCCCTCTGAAAATGGCGGATCGTTGAAAACGCGAGGGGTGAAAAAATACCGAGAGATGATAGGCAAGAGGAAGGAGGGAAAGAAAGGGAGAGAAAGAGAGAGACACGTAAGGTTGAGAAAAAAAAACGAGAAGACCCGCTATATCGGTGCATTCGCGCAAGAACCAAGTTCCGTGCTCTGTCCTGCCTCGTGCTCGTCGTGTAGAGGTGGCGGTGGTGATGTTGGTGGTAGTGGTCGTATCGACCGGGTCTGGGCCGCCACCAACCCTCGATTCTCCTCTCTCCCTTTCGTCGATCCATTCTTCCTCTCTTCGCCTCTCATCCACGCGCCCAGCACATTCCTCTCTTCTCCTCCGTCCATTCGTCTCTCTTCTTTTCGCCTCGTGTTCTTTGTACCTCCAGCACCTTTTCTCTTTTCAGCCTTGACAGCACGTCCGTCCTTCCTTCCTGTATCTCCTTTTCATCGTTCCTTTCTTATGTTCTTTCCCCGCCTTCCTTCCTCCCCTTTTGTTTTTATAGTCATTTAATTCTCCTCCTAGTTTTCCTCCATTTCGCGATATTCGTCTAAACCTACATTGAATTAGGTTGACTGATCTCTAATAACGACTGTCCTTAGAGTTCCTATTTGAATACCGGGTTTTTGAATTTCTAGACCAAAGCGCAACGCAAATGCGACACACTCATCCATTCATCTCCGACAGCACAGAATCTCAAAGGTGAAAACTGTGTGCTGTAAAATCCATTTTTGTTTATACCATTTTTTTGGACCCTTTCCCTTCCATTTCCTCGCCCATCGACCTCCCGCCCATCCCGCCACCGATTGAATCGACAGAGGCACTCGCGCGAACTGCAATTATCTCGCTGTATCCAGACCGATGCGGAGCAGAGTGTGAGCGACAGGTCGCGTGCTCAAAACAAAAAACAAAATTGTGCCGAATGTAACTTTGGGATTAATCTGGGACGAAGTTCTGGTCCAACAGAGACCTAAACAAATTTTTAGGCGATTCCAACCTAAATTGCAAAAAATAAAACTTTCTCTCTGTTGCTGTAACAATTTGGAATTTCTATCTAAATAAAAGGATGTATTGCACGGACGCTTCATGGGATACGTGTACCTATATTTTGGAATGCGCGAGAGTTTGATAACGGCGAGCATTAATATCGCAAAAGGGGGATACTCCATTTTAAGCCGAGGGATCAGTTACCCTCTAAGCCATATCATTGTGAAGAGTATCTCGCAGGAGTGGAGTTTGCACTGCAGCGTGCCGATCTAATTCGAGTGCTCTTGTGAAGAACTTGGAATATATAGGCACGCGCGTCTTCGCACAACCGAATTCACGGAGTAAGATCCGAGAGAGAGTTTGCTCCTTCCATATCGCCTTTATCGCTCCTAATAAACTTCGCAGAAAGCTTGGCGGATTGACCTCAGGATTATTCTCCAACACTGACGAGATTTACTCGGTGAATATCCGACTCAATCCGCGACGTTATATAATAATGTTTCTTCAAATTTGCATTTTAGACAGCGCCGTTTCCACCTTCTTGTCACGTGTTACGTCGAAGAAGATATCTATTTCTTGAAGGCCGAACGTACGAAGAAATGAATTATAGGATGAGACAAACCTCTCGGATCGATCTGACACTACGTGGTGACACGAATGAACTTGAGCCACGTAAGAAGAAGGTATGTCTCCGTATAGAAACTATCGAGTTTACTCTTAGCCATTTCCAATCTATACACATATAGCTATATCGTTGTACCACCAGCTGTGTAGGGTAATTCCGGGATAAGATAACTATAGTTACTAGCATAGATGACCGCGGAAAGAGATGTACTGAAGTACTCCGTAATAATTTCGACGAGCATGACTCTGGCAACAATTTCAATCGACTGTCATGACGTTTTAGTAACTATTCAACCGTATCACTATAGCGGCTATTAAAGGGACCGCAAGCGCTGGCCATTTTCCTCGTTTAAAAGGCTATAAAGGTTGCATTTCCTTTTATCCACGATCGATTGTAACGGTCGATTTGAAGTCAATTTTATGTTACTAAAAATTGAATACAAATTTTCTTTAGGAGAGAAAAAGAGAGAGAGAGAGAGAGAGGAGAAAGAACAAAATCAATCAAATTTTTATCAAACAAATATATAAAGCATAGAAGGATTTGGAACGTTCTATCTCTACAGACAAAAAATGGTTTTGCTGAAGTATTAAAAAATTTTGCTGGATACAGACCTGAAAAAATGGTTTTGCTGAAGTATCTAAATATTGTGCTAGATCCAGATGTGAAAATGATTTTGTTCGACTCAAACACGATGAGCAATTCTATAAAAGATTTAATATTCTATAGCAATCAGCTGGATCGTCTTACATATTTATTTTCCAGCTAAACTTTTAGAATCCTTCTCTCTTTCCGTGTACTGATCATACTTGTGTCATATTTTCACCGCGACTTCACTTTTGCTGCGAACACACGCTTTTTAATACGTCTTGATTTACGTAGTTTGACACTTATCCTTCGAGGGTTCATTTTAGAGCTAGCATAAATTTGAGAACTTTGATCGACTAATGGTGTACCTCGGGATTACCTCGCCACAAGTGCGTGGCATCACGAGGGAAAGATAACGGTGTGGTTTGAGGATTCGATGCTGGTCGACCGCATCTACGATGCGCGATCATCGGCGCGAAAAGAGAAAGTGCTTAGTGCAGCCGCCCGGCCCGGTAATGCCGGTATACGAGATGACGCGACGGCGGCGGCCGTTAAGTATCGTGCGTGCGACACGTGCATTATGCGCCTTCGCCTGTTGGACACGTGTCACATGACGCGAGCCACTCGCGGCGTGTGTCGCCGCGGAATGTCGAGAAGAGGAGCGGCGGGAATAAGAGGGGGGATCGAGGGGAACGACAAAAAAATTACGGACGTGCTCCCTCTCCTCCCTCTTTCTCTCTCGTGACTTGGATCGTAACCGAGGAAAATGCGATTACGTACGTTCGGTAAAAGCTTGCGGGTAAACGAACAGGAAGAAAATACGATGTCGCGACGCTGATCATCTCGCGGGCAATGCCAGCGCGATGTAACCGTTACTTTGCAGGATGTTCTGCGGTCGTTGGACGTAAGTAACGCGAACGTTCAAGTACACTTTATCGTATATCGGATAACTTTCCATAGTAATAAAAAAGTTTAGAAACGTGTAGCGCTTAAGAAAGTGATCAATGAATAACATGCTTCCAGTAGAAATTATTAAAGTTTAAGAATATATATAATTTTCCTAGACGAAAGTACCGTTTCCTTCAGATTCTATATTATCTATTCTAACTTTTGAAAATATACTCTAATTATTATATATAAATCCCGTGTTACTAAAATGTAAGTAAAATATATCACAAGACAATATCACGGACGCATCTATAGAAACTATTAATATCTAATTTTTCGATTCACCTTTTCTTCAAGAAGTAATAATATATTTTTATGCAAAGAGTTAGGAATAGAAATCGCGCAATTATCTCTAGGAAAATGATTTCCATTATAGTAAAAGAATTTTAATAACATGTATCGCTCAAGAAAATTATCAAATAAATCACGTTTCTAGTAAACGTTGAAATTGAAATTATTAAAATTGAAGAATAAAAAAATTTTCCTAGATATACTTGATTGATTCTGGAGACTTTCCTGCGATGCAAAGTTATTCTTTTCAAGAGCAAGATGAGGTCTGACAGTAGCTACACAATGAGATGCAAGGTGAAAGAGCACGCTCCGATTTGCGGCTGACATCCGAGAAAACAAGCTCATCCTGAAAGAGCATTCCCTTCCCGAATTCGACGCGATCGTGGATCGACAGCGACAAGCAGACAAGACAATCATACACGACTCGAGACAACTTCACTAGTTGTGGGAGGAAAGGCAGAACGGAGGGATGACGGGAGGTGAAAGGACACGGCGCAGAGCCCCTGTCTCGAATTACTATTCCCGCGTGTGTTTACCGACGAGCGGAAACGACTTAACGGGCAGGTCGCTCGTCGTGAAAACGACGATACATCCTTCCTTTTGCTCCATCCCGTTCTCGCAAACATTCTCATTCGTCGTCCATGTTCCACAGGGTGTCCCAAAAGGGGCAATAATTCGACAATTACGTTCCACATAACAACGATATATAATTTAAATCGAACTCTCAAACTTTACAATAAATAACAATAAAATTAAGGCTAATGCGAGTCAGCGCGGAAAAAGGTACGCATAAGTATTAATCCATGTATACTTCCAATTGGTAAATGATGTATATCCTTATTCCAAAATCTTGAATGTTTCTACTCTCTTTGAAGTCAGCAAGTTACATATAATTCAAAATCTAAC